TAATTTTGATTCTTTTTTTTTAATAAATTAAAATATAACTCATTTAGTTTAATTAGGTCTTAGTTTTAATTTTAATTCTTTTTTTCATAATAAAAATCCAAAAAAATGTAGAATTAGGTTAATTATTAATTTTTATATCTTTTTTAATTTTTTTCCTTTTTCTCACAATATTATTATTTATTATTTATTTTCTATAAATCAAAAATTGTACATAATTAGTTTAGAATTTAATTAGGTTAGAGATTAAATCTTTTTCATAATAAACTTAAAAAAAAAACATTAGAACTAGGATTTTAATTTCAATTAATTTTTTCCTTTTTTTTTAAACCTAAAAAACACAAAAACATTATTTTTCATTTAATTTTTTAATTTCCTTGATTAATTTTAATTGTTTGTAAAAGGGTCCAACGCCCTAATTTTGTTTAATCTTTATTTCGCGCATTTATTTTACATTGTTTAAATACCTCTGTATATGCCCCAAAGCCATGTAATTTAAAAACTCTCGGACTTTTATTTATTCGCTTTATTTACTTTCAGTCAAATCGGGTTCGGTTTTTTTGGCGATGTGGACCCGCGCCAGTTGTAATAGTTAGATTTATTTTCTCGCAAATATAACTGTTAATAAATATGCATGAAAGAATGAATGCCCGAAAAATAAAATTGAATCGTTAGATCACCAATGCATGACAAGACAAATAATGAACTAAAAATGACACACAATTCGCACACACCACCCTTAGGGTACGCCTCACTGTTGCCTTTCGAAAGGTGGTCGTCGAGTAGAAAACGTCTTAGTAAGTCCTCATGATCCGGGAACCTGGCATGAGGGTAGCTTCTAAGGTGTCTTCCCATTGCTCTGGTGACCACCACGTCCCTAAAACTCGAATTGACCCGAACACCTCCTACGGTGGTGCTACCTACCTCTCAATGGTGGGATGGCACTACTTTAAAGGACATTTACACAGACAAATTCCTTAGGGTAGGTAGGTTCTCGTAGGTACTTGCTCTCTTCAAAAACAAAACAAATAATACTTTTCACCAACACATTTTCAAAAGCTTTCAAAGCAAATTTTTCAAACACTCTGACGTACGAGTCGAACTGAAATTTTTCAAAGAAACTTTTTTAAACCCACAATTGAAAAGCAAACAAACAATTTTGAAAACACATTGAGCAAGTATCTAAGAGCCCATGGATAACCATGGATAGAAAGGGTGCTAACACCTTCCCTTTCTATAACCTACCTCCCGAACCGAGAACAATCTCTTTAAAGGAATTTTTCTGTGCTTTTGTCCTTTCCATTTGGAGAAAATAAAAGACGGTGGCGACTCTTGCTTCCGCGACATTTCGCGAACCAGCGTTAAAACAGTCAGTTCCAGATCCACCGATCACAGATGGTAATGTGTCCTTTAGAGATGCATCGAAAGTGAATATCGAAGGAAAGGGCACAATCAGTTACTTGCAGAAGGATGGCTTGATTGGATCAATCGAAGACGTTTACTATGTACCAGATCTCAAGACCAACATATTAAGTCTGGGACAACTTACAGAAAAGGGTGCTTCGATACTTATGAAAGATCGAACACTGCATTTGAAGGACAAAGCAGGACATCTGATTGCCAGTGTCGAAATGGAAAGAAATCGAATGTACAAACTAAACCTGAGAAACATTCGAGAGAAATGTCTGCAAATCGAAGTGCAAGACAAAGCGTCACTATGGCATATGCGCTTTGGTCATCTACATCATGCTGGTTTGAGAAGGTTGGCGAAAAGGAACATGGTGCATGGATTACCAGACATGGATTTCGAAGGAAAATTTTGTGAAGAATGTGTGCTCAGCAAACAAACAAGAACCTCATTTCAAAGGAAGGCAGAGTATCAAGCTAAACATATTCTCGAATTGATACATACTGACATATGTGGGCCAATCACTCCAGAATCCTTCAGTGGAAAAAGGTACTTCATTTCTTTTATTGATGACTTCTCAAGAAAAACCTGGGTTTACTTCTTGAAAGAAAAATCTGAAGCATTAGAAGTGTTCAAAAAGTTCAAAGTAATGGTGGAGAAGGCAACAGACAGACACATCAAAGCAATTCGATCTAACAGAGGAGGAGAGTATACTTCAATGGCTTTTGTGAAGTACTGTGAAGAACAAGGCATAAGGAGATTCCTAACTGCACCATATTCACCTCAGCAAAATGGTGTGGCTGAAAGGAAGAATCGAACTATTTCTGACATGATTCGATCAATGCTCAAAAGCAAGAACATGTCAAAAGAATTTTGGGCAGAAGCAGTACAATGTGCTGTTTATATTCAGAATAGATGTCCACATTCAAAGTTAGAAGACAAAACACCACAAGAAGCATGGAGTGGACAGAAGCCAACAATTTCTCATCTCAAGGTATTTGGTAGTATAGCTTATGCACATGTACCAGATCAACGAAGAACAAAGCTTGAAGACAAAAGTCAGAAGTACATATTCATTGGATATGATGAGAAGACGAAAGGGTACAAGCTCTTCAATCCCATAAGCAAGAAAGTAATCGTGAGTAGAGACGTTCGAATGAACGAAGCAAGCAAGTGGGATTGGAACAATTCGACAGAGGTTATTGACGCAGTCAAAGAAACAATTGTAGCTGTACCAGCAAGTATTCCAACAGAACATGAAGAAACTGAAGATGAAGATGAGCCTCTACAACCAAAAACGAGAAGTTTACAAGATTTGTATGATTCAACAAGTGAGGTGCATCTTGTGTGTCTTCTGGCAGATGCTGAAAACATTAGAGTCGAAAAAGCGTTACTAGACAAGAAGTGGAAAAGTGCCATGGACGAAGAGATTAGAGCAATCGAACGCAACAATACTTGGGAGCTAGTCGAATTGCCAAAAGGTAATCAACCCATTGGTATAAAGTGGGTATTCAAGAAAAAGATGAATGCTCAAGGAGAAATCGAAAGATTCAAAGCACGACTGGTTGCGAAGGGATACAAACAGAAAGCAGAAATTGACTATGACGAAGTGTTTGCGCCTGTTGCAAGAATGGAGACAATTTGATTACTCATTTCTCAAGCTGCCCAATTCAAATGGCCAATATTTCAAATGGATGTCAAGAAAGAATTTTTGAATGGTGTGCTCGAAGAAGAAATCTATGTCGAACAACCACTTGGATATATGAGAATTGGAGAAGAGAAGAAGGTGTTGAGACTAAAGAAATCGCTGTATGGGCTGAAGCAAGCACCTAGGGCATGGAACACACGTATTGACACATATTTCAAAGAGAATGGGTTCGAGAAATATCCTTATGAACCCGCCCTCTATGTGAAGAAAAATGGAAGTAATTTATTACTTGTTGCTCTCTATGTCGATGAACTTATCTTTCTAGGCAGTGATGTTCAGATGATCGAAGATTTCAATACCACCATGACAAGCGAATTCGAAATGACAGACTTAGGTCTGATGAGATTCTTTCTTGGTCTGGAGGTTCGACAAGAAGAAGCTGGAATTTTTATCTCGCAAGAAAAATATGCAAAATAAATCCTAGAAAAATATAAAATGAAGAATTGCAATCCAACTTCGACGCCAATGGAACCAGGTACAAAACTGTCAAAGTTTGATGGAGGAGAACGGGTTGAAGGAAGTAAATATCGAAGCTTGGTAGGTAGCCTTCGATATCTCACATGCACAAGGCCAGACATTTCACTAAGTGTTGGCATAGTAAGTCGATTCATGGAGGAGCCAGTACACACACATTGGAAGGCACTGAAACGAATTCTAAGATACATCCAAGGAACAATATCACTAGGAATGTTTTATTCAAAAGCAAAAGACTACAAGTTAGTTGGTTATTCTGACAGTGACTGGTGCCGAGACATAGACGATCGAAAGAGCACATCTGGATATGTGTTTTTCATGGGAAACACAACATTCACTTGGCTGTCGAAGAAGCAACCTATAGTAACACTTTTGGCGTGTGAAGCTGAATATGTGGCAGCAATATCCTGGTGCGTCTGTCATGCAGTATGGCTCAGAAGGTTGATAAGCAAGATGAAGTTAAAACAGGAAGATCCAACAATAATACAAGTGGACAATAAATCAGCTATCGAATTGGCAAAGAATCCAGTGAATCATGAACGAAGCAAACACATTGATGTTCGATTTCACTTCATTCGTGAACATGTGAAGTAGGGAAGTGTCGAATTGAGGCATGTAGCAAGCAGAAACCAAGCAGCAGATATTTTTACAAAACCATTATCAAAAGAGATCTTCGACAGAGGCAAGAAGATGATAGGAATGCTGGATGGAAGAAACATTTAAGTTTACAGAGGAGTTTTGTTGAATAAACATTAAATTTCATTAGTAATAAGTTTCATATTAAATATGGTAGTAGGAAGGACAAAAGTTTAGTAAGTTATGATAGTTTATTAGTAGCAGTTATGTTTTTTAGAATTGTAAAAGCCATTGGGTCTATATAAAGACCAAAAGTGTATTTTATTTTAAGAAGAACAATATACAAAGTTTTGTCTGAAGTCTGATTCTTAGTTATAACAAAAAAATCATCACATTGATAAGAGAAGCTAAATTTAATTACAATTTTGTATATCACACCCCTCAAATTTTATTCGAGAAATGGTTTGAAATTTTTTTTCTAAAATATCATATTTCAGAGGTCTTCCATCACGTTAAATAGCGTCAAATAATATAAGAGATTCACTTTTTTTTTTGTTAATAGACTTCCGCCATCTCAAATGGCCTATCTCAAATAAGAGGCCATTTGAGATGGCAGAGCCTCATAAATGTGACATTTTGAAGAAAAAAATTTCAAACCATTACATTACTAAAATAAATTTGAGGGGTGTTGGCATTTGAAAAAAATTCCATTTTCTTACTAGCTGAATCAATTTTCATGGGCGTATGACACAAAATATTAATAAATAATATTATACATACTCTTCATAAAATAACAAAATGTCAATCTGTCTATCAACTTTTGCCTTGGTCGATCTGCTAGCTGCAAGTAGAATTCCAAAACTGTGCATTTTTAACCTTGGATACACTTTGCAACACCTCCAAAGGAAGTATGTCACCAATAACAACTACCATTTTAGTGTTTAGATCTACCTTGTACGACTTCACTCCTGTTCATAAGTACTTATAAGCAAACAAAATAGCCTTATGCATGCATGCCAAGAAATTGCAATTACTCTCACCTTCAAGCTTTGATATATGTTTCTCAACTTTTCTTGCGCATCCATGGCAATGCATGGACACCCTCAATAAAACTATCTGTATATATGTGAACAATAATTCTAAGGATCATTTTGAAATATTGATAATGTAGACACTTACTTGGTAAGAGTAATTAATGTTGCATTGCATCTAAGGAAACTACAATGGTAAAAGAGAAGAAAAACTTCACCTTAGGTTTCAACTGAAAACTCAAAGTTTGTTTTCCAGAAACAACATCCTTCAATTTTAGTTTATGACCATCTTTGTCACTTGCTATAAAAGGCTTACTCTCAAACTCATGGTCAAATTCTATAGAATTTAGACAGAAACATGAGTTTGAACTTGAAGAAAGACATAATATTTCCAACATTTTATCAAGTTTCCCCATTATGTGAGCTGAAAAAAGCTATACTACTCAATAAACTCACAACACTACACTTCTTTATGTTAAGGAAAAAAGGAACACCTGGTATATGAGAGAAAAAGAAGAAGCTTAAGATAAAATTTCCAACATTTTATATCCATAAGTGGAAAGTTGGAAAATAATAGAATAATAGTGAATGTGGCCCACTGAGACCTGAATGAAACTGAATAAATTGAAGTATTTATATGCATCAATAAAATATAATAGAGAAAGACAAGATGGGACATGTGCTCTTGCATTATTGAAGGATATGAGCTCAGAACCGTTTCCAAATAATTGAATCAAGGAATAATTGTAAGGTTGTTTATTTGTATCTACAGGTTGGTCCATGTGATAGTGGTTCATTTAAAATATGTATTAGATTGAGGAATTTGACAAGGACAGAGGCAAGGACATCGCTAGGAGCGTGTCATGCTAGTCACATGAGCTTTTCACCTTATGCGGCCATATACTTTAAGAGTGATGCCATGCTATTTCTTGTGCTTTTATATGAAGTTGAGAATACTTTTTTTTAAAGCAAAAAAAAAAAAATATAGAATAAAGGTAATAGAAATCCTAAGACCAAAGTATTAAAACAACACAATCAAAATGGTTGGGTTTCAAGTGTGAATTGTTAAAGTTCCACGTCGACTAAAAATGAAAGAAATATTGATTTTATAAGAGAGATAGTAGCTTTGTAAGAGAGGTGATCCGGACCTTGCTCCCCAGACTTCTCCAACAAAAATAAGAAGGATGAATATTACTACACATCACAACCGTCAAACCTTATAAAGAGAAATGAAATACCAATATGATAAGGAAGAAGAAACTAAAAGCCAAAAAGAGAGCATCGGACAAAGAACGAGTTGGAACTTCCCAGTCTAGGACCAGCGAAAACATCACATGAGTTCTCCACGGACCTACTAAGGTACCGTTTTCATGCCAAAAGAGTATTCATGTCTTCCACATCCTTCACAATCACTAATTTACCTAAAGAGAAATGAAATACCAATATGATAAGGAAGAAGAAACTAAAAGCCAAAAAGAGAGCATCGGACAAAGAACGAGTTGGAACTTCCCAGTCTAGGACCAGCGAAAACATCACATGAGTTCTCCACGGACCTACTAAGGTACCGTTTTCATGCCAAAAGAGTATTCATGTCTTCCACGTCCTTCACAATCACTAATTTACCTGAGAACACAATATCATTCCGAAATTTTCAAATCCACCCGATCACAACATGGGAAATCATAAGACACCCCATAAGCCTAGAAGGACCACCAATGGGGAAAACATCTGAAAAATAATCAGGGGATCTCCGGCTAAAGCTACATACCATCCCAACCAATTAAGAATCATATACCAAACAAACACCACTACAACACAAATCACAAAAAGATGGATAGACGACTCTATGATTCTAAAGCAAAAAAGACAAGAGATACCTTCCGAACCAAGAAAAAATCTCTTTTTAAAGTAAATCATCTCTGGTAGGAATCCTATCTTGCTGGAGTTTTCAAGAGAAAATGATAACTTTAGATGGACCCAACTGCTCCAAATACTAGGAAAGATTAAATCCACTAACGAGATCTGATGATCACTAGAAAAATCACGGGTACAAAGCAGGACTCTCTCAAACAATTTGGAGGTCATGTTCTAATGTTAAGCAACAATGTTATCCATAAAGACAAATTGGTTGTTAGAACAAGATTTATCATGTTTAACTACTCAATTTGCAGCAGTGTTGAGTATTATGGTTCAATCGTAAACCTTCAATCCTCAATCCCATAAGTGAAAAAATATCAATCAAATCCACACATGTATGTTTGTCTCATATTCACCCATACACTAGAACATTTGTTATCCAAGAAGTTCATATGTGCCCCTTTTTATGATCTATTGAATCATGATAACTTAATTAAAAATAATAATATTGCTGACTCACTACTATAAAAAACACATTTAACCTCAGACACGAAGGGGATTTAACCTTAGTTACAGAGGTGGCATAACAAAAGACGTCATGAAAACTTGTCACATTACACATTGGTTTGAGAATAATCGAGGAGTAAAGTGTTCTTCACATGGAATCTATCTCAAGCTTATGCATTTTTATTATTTTCAGAACTGGATGGCGCGCCCCACATTTCCTCTCGATCTTTTGAGAAATCGAGGTAATAGAGAACAATTATTACCTCAATTTATAACAATAACCGAGGGAAAACATTGTTATTTATTTATTTTCTATATATTGGTTTGAACATGCATTACAGAACCATATTTAGGCCATTTCTGAAAGAGAAACATTATTACATAATCATATTTTGGACATTTCTAAAATAGATTCTTTGTAACTTTTACCCATTTGTCAAACAAAATTATTATACCAAAAATTTTCATTGATTACACCATTTACAAAATCAAAATGGAACATGTGCACCTTATAATTTTACAAAAAAATTAAAACTTAAACAAATGATTAACAAAATAAATAATCAAAATGCAAAATCATGTAGGTCGTCTAAAATTTCTCTTCTTTGATTTGTCACTGGTCGTTAAGTCCTATAATTTGAACCATATTTGAAACCAATTATAATCATCAATAACAACATTTAATATTTACTAAAAAGAATATAAAAATATAAATGAGTAAATATATATATTACTAAGTGATATAAAATATTTACTCACTAGTTTTCTCATATCCCCTCTTGATGATCATGAGGAATAGAATGCACATCATCATCATAATCATTTTCTTCTGATGAGGGACGTACATGTGTGGCGAAAGAGAGGGTATCAAAATTTAAATCTTGATTTTCATCACTATCAGGAATACTTTTTTTCTTCTTTTTTAGACAAAGTGTGACATGCTAGGGGAAAATATGTTCTATAATTACTATAACTTTTGGGGCTAACTCTTGTTGTATACCCATCACCATCATATCTTCACGAGATTTCTTAGTATCTTTCGTCTTTCTCTTAATGTTTAGAAGTGTTTCGATCAAACCATCACATTCATTTTTCTCCACATGCATCACATCAAGACAATTTCTTACATAAAGGCTAGAACAATATGGGAGATTAAAGAACACCGACCTCTTTTTCCAAATATTTTTATCCCCGGACCCTTTTCGTTTCTTTCCAAAGACAACATCAATTTATTGTTGTCTTTTATAAATTTCCTTCCCGGTTAATGGCTTAGGAGAAATACCAAACTCATGCTCTCCATTAAAAGCCTTTTGCAATCTACGGTATGGATGATTAGGTCTTAGAAATTTTTTATGGCCAAGGTAAATAATATTTTTTCCATTGTTTAATTGGTGGAAGCATGTATCATCTTCACGTATTGGACACACTTTATGTCCTATGACGTTATACCTAGATAAATTATCGTATGCAGGAATGTCATTGATTGTGAAAATAACCTGGCATGCAGCTAAAAGTTATCACCTATATACGCATCATCAACACCAACGCCTTCCTCCCACAAAATTCTTAAATATTTAATCAATAGCATTAAATAAACATTTATGTCATTCCCTGGTTGTTTTGGACACGAAATCATAATTGATAACATCATATATTTGTGTTTCATGCATAACCACAAACATAGGTTATAAATTTATGACTTCTCAGCAAGTGTACTGATAGTATCAAAGTGATAAAATAAGATCGTATCCACGTGGACTGCTATTTAACAACAAAAATATTGTGTAATGTTTAGAAAGTAACAATTGGGGGGGGGGGGGGGGGGTTCAAGTTTGATTGTGAATGATAAAAGTTGTTCGGAAAATAATGAGAAAGTGGTTAGATTTTGCAGTGAATCCCTTATTTCTCCCCTGTTGATGTCTAATGTATTACATGAATGAAGCCACATTATGTCTCCACGACGAATTAATAAATCAACTATATCCAATCCATTTGGTGTATAGATCACTGATTTTTACTAGAGATCTCATATCTCTATTCAACCGACATAAGTGAAATCAGGCGATGATACATTACATTAATTATAATGCCACTACTAGAGGTCTCTTATTCCTATTTAACCGACCTAAGTACAATAATTGCCCTAGTTTAGGTGTATAGGCTAAGGGCCAGTATTCGATATATGTATAATCATATTAACAGACTATCTCAAATAATATGCATTTAGTAAAAGAGACAATTAAATAGAAACATAAATTCGATTAAACATGCAATAACAAACTAAACATATGTCCCAACATGTTCAAAATAAGTTCATCGTAAAAACCTAATATATGAAGATGTGGCCTCCAATTACTTCCAATTCTCTCCAAATCCCACTTTTGATACTCTATTTCGTAACTTGTAGTCAAAATTTGCATAACCCTTAAAAAGATATCAAACATCTTTTGTACCCCAATTTTTTCTCCCAAGATCCTCTATCATCTCATTGCATCACAATGCATCAAGATCACGCATTTAGGTTGGCCATTTCTTTTTCTCTCTTCCCTAACTTTAAGTTTGCTCTTAAGGGATCGCCAAGCACTCTAATTTTTTATCTTGTATATATGTGTTTTACATTTTTACCGACCTCTAAGCAAAATACCAAAAATATGTGTGCTTTATTTTTGTATATTTGTGTTTTGTAGGTATCAAGCCAAAACATCCAACAAACAATGTTTTATGGAATTTTTCTTTAGTGGAAATCGATTTCCTCAACTATTTTTGCGCCAGGATCTCTGTTTTTTACAGTGGAAATCGATTACCCCATATGTGGAAATAGATTTCCTGAGACGAATTTTGAAAAAAAAGCAATTTTCAAGTTTTCATAATTTGGTTCCAATTTCTTTCTTTTTAGAGAATATTCTTGATTTCCAAAAATAATAATAATTCCCCACCTCATCATCATTAAATTCCATCACACACACCCTCATTTGATCACATGTGCACCACTTGATTCAATTTTGACTCCAAAATCAATTACCAAGTCTAATTTTGATTCCTAAACCAAACT